CCACACATATAATTTTTCATCCATCAGCTTCATATTTTTTTACAATCGCTTTCATTTAAAATAATATATTGTTTTTTATATCTTTATATTTCTTTTTATTTGTAAATAATAATTATTTTTTTTATTTGTATATAATTTATTTTATATTTTTATATAATTTATAAATAATTGTTTATTTTTGTAAAAAAAAATGGATGATATTTTATTTTTGTATATTTTTTTATTTTTAGTTTGTGCCATTGGTTTTTATTCAACTTTTCGTTTTGGTAAATTATTTACCAAAAAAAGCATCACCCAAGTAGAGAGTTGGGAAAAAGACGACCACCAACTCGAAGACTCTGATCAATTGGATGATTTGGTAAATTCATTTGGAAGTCTAAGTGTTCTAACAAGTGAAGAAGAAATGGAAAATAAACAACTTATGGAACAATATTCAAATCTTCTCCAACACTTCGATAATACCCTAGATGAATGTAATAATAAACTAGATCAACAATTAAAAGTTTTAGAGTCTTTAAAAAAAAAATAATTTTGGTTGATATACCGTTATATCTCCTATAGACACGGGTGCATTGAAATACTTTTAAAAGCCTTTAAATATAAGTAAGTAAATAAAAACATTATCAAAAATATCAAATCTATTTAGAAATGGGATTCGTTGAATAAAAAAGGAAAATATATGAATTACTAACACAAATAAATTTCTGTTTTAGAATCCTAATCATGTATTTCTGTTTTAGAACCCGAATCATGTATTTCTGTTTTACAATCCGAATCATGTATTTCTGTTTTAGAATCCGAATCATGTATTTCTGTTTATTAGGAAGAACACAAAAGAAGAAAATGATAGCTAAAACTCATTCATCTTTTTAAAGAAATAATAAAATTAAAGCTTTATATTTTTTATTTATTTTTATTTTAAATTTTACAAAATTTTGTTTTCTTCTGAAATATTATTTGGTTGTGTATTATTTTCATATTCTGCCGACATTACTGATGGATTTTCACCATTACTAATGCTTTGACTATTTCATTATATTTTTTTATTTGATTTATAATTTCATTTCTTATTTTTTCTATTTCTTTTGTATAATTTTCTATTATCTTTTCTATATCTATTTAAATTTCATTCCTTGTTCTTTCAAAAAATCCACATCAGCATTTTTAGGTATTTCCTGCTTTTCTTTAAATTTCTCTTTCAATTGATTTAATTTCGGTAATATTGTCGTCTTTGACTGACCAGTTAAAAACTCATTCTTCCAAAGTTTTAATTGCCTCATCTCTATCTTTTTAATTTTATTACTCTTAGCATTATAACAACAACCTTTTGAATCACTACTTGTCCTCTTGAATTTACTTTGAATTTTCAAACAGTTGCTATTATAAATGATGTGCTGATATTTAAACAATTTTCAATCTTCCCAACACTTTGATGTTGATGAATATTTATTTATATATCAATATCAAAATTTATTAAAATATATAAAAATATAAAAAATAAATAACAATTATATTTTTTATCTATTACATTATTTCTTATAAAGTAAAAAGAGTTTATGTTTTATTTTTTTAATTTTAAAATAAACAAATAAAGTAATGTACATTTTTCAAAAGCCCCAACTAGTAACAGTAGTCAATCATCTAAGGATTCAAGATATTCTAACTCCGATGATAACTCAATAAGTAATGGGTCAAAAATTGCAGAACGTCCAGAGCAAGAATTAGTAAATACATCAGAAGAAAAGGTTGACCATTGTAAAAAAGTTTTCGCCAATGTATTAAATTTATTAATGAAAAAGGATCCACATCAATTATTTTACTCACCAGATTGCACCCGATTATTTTACCTATATCAAAAAACCAATGGATTTCTCAACAATGATCAAAAAGAATAATGATGGTAAATACATTTCAATGGATCTTTTCACTTACGATTTTACATTGATTTGTGAAAATTGAATGAAGTATAATGATGAAAATTCAGTATATTACAAGGAGGCAAGAAAGTTATTAATAGATGGTACAAAAACATTATGTCCTATTTATTTAATAATTTTTATTATTCATCGTTTTTGAAACCATTTCCTTCATTATTATCTTCACCACTTTTAATATTTTGATCATCTTGAATAAACATTATTATTTTCATTTTCTTGTTGATTAATTTTATTTATTTTTTTTATATATTTAATTTTTTATATAATTAATCTTTTTTTTTTTAATTTTTTTTTTTTTTTTTTTAACTATAGGGGTTTCCTTTATAATTTTTTTTTATTTATTTATTTATAAACATTTTTTTCAAATAATAATATATTTTTTAGGACAATAAATAATAAACATAATAATAAATAATATATAAAAAATATTATATTTAATTAAATATGGATAACGCCAAGAGATTAAGATTTTTAATAAACATTGAAAATAGACTAAATAGATTCCAGCAACCAAATCAAGGGGACCAAAGAACAATGATTATGAGGCTAATTGACATCGAAAGAAGAATACAAAGATTTAGACAACAAAATCAAACCCAACCACCAACATCAACCTCACAAAATGCACTTCATATAGATGAAAATATGAAGTGTAACAGATGTGATATCACTATTACCGAGGGGCTACATTCTAATTTTGAATGTAAGTGCCAAAAATTAGCAAAAATACTAATAGCCTATAGAGCTGGTATTTTATCAAGTTCCCTTAGAAGAAGAATAAGAATTTTAATGGTAATTTACAATCATTACCAAACTTGAATTCAAATAGTTTTGGAACTATCTTAGAACAGATAAACATTAACAACTTTTCCTACCATATTAATAATTATAATAATAATATAAAATAATAATATTAATTTTTATATTGGTTTAATAAAGAAATTATAACATAGATCAATTAATTAAACTTTAATTTTTACTTTCTTTTATTTTTTTTTTTGCTTTGATGTTCATTAAATAAATTTAAATCTTTTTTTTTTCTTTTTTTTTTTTTTTTTTTTTTTACTAAATGTGTTTATTAAATACATTTTAAAATGTTAATTATTAGTAAATATTAACAAAACTAATTTTTTAATTTTAAAAATATAAATATTAATATATATTTTTATTATAATTATTATTTTTTATAATCTATTTTTTCATTTTTATTACAAATAAAATAAAAAAAAAAAATTTTATTAAAAAATTAATAAAAAAAAAAAAAAAAAAAATAAAATAAGTGATGCTGTTTTTTTTAAAAAATAATTTTTATCTTTTTATAAACAAAGATATTTCAGATATAATATTTTGGTTTAATTTTTTTTTTCAAATAAAAAAATAAATGGCTTTTTTAAAAATCTATTTTTAAAATTTTTTTTTATTTTTTTATTTTTATTTTTATTTTTTTTATTTTCATTATTTTATATTATTTATTTTTTTCAAAACACAACAAACAAAAACATAAATCATTTTAATAATTTAAAATATAGAACGTCCAATAAATAATAATAATTTTAACATTACTGAAAATATTTTTAAAACCTTTCGAGAACAAGTAAGTAAATTAATACATTATTTTAAAACAACAACAACAACAACAAACCAATATACATATAGAAAATGGCATCGTTTAAGAAATATAGAAAATAGACGCAGAATCACTAACATAAATTAAATTGACTTTATTAATTAATATTCAAAAAAGCAGATTTACCAATTAAAACCATCAATACACCAACAGGATCAGATATCGTCGATATCATGAATGAAAGGATTTTGATTAATAATATAAAGATTTAGCCAATATTTACCAAATGCACAGCGAACCTATTAAAACAGATTTTATACTATTTACAAGTAATAATAATAAATACCAATCCAATCACGAACTATTGCTCAATAATAATAATAATAATAATAATTTCAAAATTAATATCAATAACAATCATAAAAAGTCACAAAGTCGCAGAAACTCAAATTCTTTCAATCTCTGGTAAATCAGCCAAGGCAAAATTCAAACTTAGATCCAACTAAATACTAATGAAGATATTCAATCTTATCAACTATTTATATGAATCTCAATATATTTAAAATATGACCCCCAAAGAATTAATTATCTGATAGAGGTTCAAGGCTCATAAATGAAGTCGTCATTTCAATAAACAAATTCTTTAAAGTAACTCCAACTTTTGCTTGCCATTCTTAAACATATGGTTTAACTGAAAAGCTTAATTCAACTTAATTCACAAGTACCTAGATTTTATTTTAAAGAAGACAACTTCTCATATCTTTAATTAAATCAAAATAAAGAATAAATCAAGCTAACAACACAATTTAATAATGTAGATGGTGTCTTAATAGCTAAAAGTGAATATTAGAATATGACCTACCCGAAATCTTTTCAGTATTAGGTTCTGAAGCATTATCAAAACAGGATTTTAGCAATCAATCAAATAATTCAAAAAAAACTAATCAAGTATATATTTAAATATCGAATTAAATAAATTAAATAATAAATCACAATATTTAAATACCCCAATTAGTCATCTATATAAAAAAAATTATAGTATTAACTCAATAAATCAATAATCAGTCCTCAGTTATTAGAAGCCTTAAAGAAAGCTAATATTAAAACATTTTATAATAATTAAAAATCAATATAGTAAAGGCAGTCCTCATTAAGTTATAACAGTCACACCCACCAAATTCGACCCAATATCATACAATTAATAAAACGCCTCACATTTTTCAGGACCATCACTGCTGCGGGTGCTGCAAGTTGTGCTGCTACAGGTGGTGAAGGTTGTACAGGTGGTACAGGTTATAATAGCAGGTAACTCTTCAGACTGGAAAGATTATCTCTCTCTTTATTAGAACTTTTAGAACAATTAGAATTAGAAGGTCTTCAATCCGAAAATCACAATATTAAATAAGAGATTACAATTCTTTAAGATAAATTCAGTAAACAATCTTTCAACACTGGTCATGATACTTCTGTTGGTATATCAAAAGTTTCACTGAGTTCTCGTACTGATAGAGGGGATGGATCCAACAGCATTAGTTTCTAAGCAAACTGATAAATGCGAAGAGAAAACAGAAATCCATTAAAAGTGGTAGCATCAAATTCATCAAAATCTAATGTTGGTGCTAATAGTTCACCAATCATCCCATTGAATACTTCAGAAGAAATCAATGGTGATAGAATCAAAGAGACTGAACATGAATTTGAAAGCTATAGAAATGCAAAAGGGACTTTAGCAATGGAATAAGATTTAGAAATCAAACAATTAATAGAAAATTAGAGATTACTCAAAAGGTTCATTTGGAAACAGTTAGAAATACACAATTAAATTTTAAAATTGAAAATATCGAAGAGGAGATAATACAAAGAATAGAAGAAAAGTTAAATATTTTAAGATAAATAAATAAATAAATAGATAATATAATATTAATTAGGAATTATATCAAAGAATTTCTTATTTTTTGGACATCCAATCTTGGTTTTATATTTTTCTAAATGAATAAAAATAAAAATTATCATAAAGAAATATTTTTATAAAAAAAAATAAAATAAAAAATTTATATATTATTTTATATGTATTTTAATAAATTATTTATTATTTTTTTTTAAAGGAATTTGTAAGGGTGGATAAAATTTTAGGGATATTGTTTTTTACCAATGATGAGATATGACAATTTCTTTACTCCGTTTCACCAATTTTCAAAAATTATTTCTTTGTAAGATACAAATAAAAAAATAAAAAAAAAATCCACAAAAAACCCATTTTTTGATCAACCTTAATCCAAATCTACACAATTGATATTATATTATTGAATGATCCTATCCAATTGTATATTCTTGAATGTGTATAATAAATTTTATTAAAAAATAAATTAATTGTTGAATTTTAATAATTAAATGCTAAAAAATCCTTTATATGTTTTAATGCTAAAAAACCCTCGCTATGTTTTGATTATATTTTTATTAAAACTTGATATGTTTTAATGCTAAAAAATCCTCGATAGTTTTAATGCTAAAAAATCCTTTATATGTTTTAATGCTAAAAAATCCTCGATATGTTTTGATAATACCATTATTTTATTTATTTTATTTATATATATTTTTTATATTTTTTTTATACTATTAGCCACTCTTTGTAAAGAGTGTTTCCAGCTCTACCACGTGGAGGTTAGTATATTAGAGCCGGATGGTTAATTATTTACACCTTCAGGCAGTATAAATAATTAAACACCATATTTGTGGTTAATTATGTATCCCACCACGCAGAATTCATAATTAACCACCATGTTTGTGGTTAACTATGTATCCCACCACGCAGAATACATAATTAACCACCATATTGATAATTGATAATTGATAATGATAAGGAAATCG